GCTTTTTAGTCACACACCCCCGGATGAAGTATCAGGGATGAAACAACCTGGTTATAGCCCCGGATGTTTGTTTTTTGTACTCTCAATTTGGTGCAAAAACCGCTCCACCACGAGAAGTCAGTGATTAGGGCTTCCTCAACAGAAGCTATTTAAGGCACTAGGAGCATTTTGTCTAGTGCAAGGGAGGGGTAACCAGTCCGAATCTAAGATGCCCGCCCCAACCATACTGAGGCTTTCGGAGGTTGAGTTGCATGCGCAGCAGCAAACCAGAGTAAAGCGAAAACGTTAGAGGGAAGAGATCAACAGAAGGGTTGAATCAGACTCCGAAAGTGATGCTGGATATCCTACAGACGTGGATCGGAGAATAGGGGACGCGCAGTGTCCCTTTTGTCATCATTCTTTCCTTTTCCACAAACATGTAAAATGCGGCACTTGCCTCAAGTAACCGTTTAGTGGGTAGCAAAAGTGAATTCCAAGAGGCGTCTCACGATCGCACAGAGGAAGACGACCAGCCCGTGGTTGATTACGGAAATACGAGTTTGTCACCAAATGAACGATTGCAAATGTCAGAGGCGAAGTTAACAGACGAAGGCAGATATCCGTTTCCAGTGAGCCGCTCATCACGCGGATACACTGAGAATATAGTCGGTCAAAATTACGCGTTGATGAAGCAATTAAGTCATGCCGCGGTAAACGGATTCACTATCAGCAATGTTGTCGACAGGTTTTTCTATCGTTCTACAGTCAAACTCAGCACGGACAAACCAAAGCAGTGTTCAGACCAAAATGGAGTTCGTCATTTACGAGGTATGCGCGCGAAGCGAAAATGGACAGCACGTATGACGTGCAGGTTCGGAGTGATAGTGGTACGACAGGTTTCGGGTATAGGACGCGTGAAACACGTTATTGTTACAAGTAAATGGATTAGGAGATATGATTGCAGAAGCCTGCGTAACCGAACATATATTTTTCAATCCAAGTCTAGTATTCAACCTGCTACGCTCAGCAATTCAATCATATAACAAAGGTGATAAAACTGGTTGCGGGTACATGCTCTGTTCATTCTGAAGTCTAATTTTTGCCAAGCACGTCGTGAAATCCGAGTCTGTTATCAAGAGATTAGAGAAATTAGCTGGATTATTAAATACTATCTCAAACTTTCTCACTGGTGGATAAGACGAACTGACGTCGGATTCGAAGATTGCAGGTTCTTATCCTGTCAGGGTCGCTCAATAGTAGTTCAGTGGTAAGGCCGTCATGAGTTTGAAACCCGCCACCCATCGCCCATCTTCCCATTGTCTGTGTTTCCCTAGGAAGCAATTCATGGCCGCCTTCCTGGGAGTCTATCTTATACTTATTTATTCAATAAACAAAAAGTAAAAATATCGATTTATTATTGTTGTCCAACTCCGTCGACTTTCTGTGGTGAGTAAATGATCCACGCGTGACAAACTGGTAGTTCTGACACTGGTGGGGATAAATCAACAACATTTTCACGTTACACCAAATCCTGAAACAGACATTCCTTCTGTGGGTCCATTATTCTATTCTTATCATCTTTAGGTAACTCCGTATCATTCCACCGCACGGCACTTGCACGATGTCTCTCGTGGCGAGTGGTTGTGCCAGAAAATTTTATACGGAAATCTCTTTGAACAAATAACCGAAGCTGTGTTCGAATTCATGATTAATTTCGTTTCAGTTCACTACACAGATTATGCTCGTCCAGGTTGCATTCTCAATAACTTGCTTGCCCTTCATTATTGTAATGGAGGTGAAACTTGAAACGACCCTGTAACCATGTAGACATAGGGGACTCGATTTGCTTCCAGGTGGTGGGTTTTTGTGATATTGAGGACGCAGGTCATACCATACTATTCAGTGAAAATCCAAGTAAGTTGCCCGCTTTTCTAGATGTTTTAGGCGATGATTTAGTAATGGCATGCGTTTTGCACTTGCAAATTTTATAAAACCGATGGGACGCGGTTGATTTAGTTCCAAATCTCACTAAAACACTGGGCAAGCAATAAAAATGGAGCGGCCGAATTTTGTGACACTTGCAAAGCTGCATCGCACGTGCTGAACGGATCTCGGATTAGATCTCACCATGCACAAAATTGGTGTTTCCCAACAAACGATTTCCTCCGAGGCGTTGCAAAGGTCAGCGGGAGCACTGTTGCAATTCAGTTGATATTGTTTTATGATGCACAAACAGGTCCATTACAGGAGTAAAGTAACACGGTAAAATTTCTGAGTTTGAATACCACTATCTACGCGGTATTCCAAAATCCTAGTCCCATGCCCTGGAGATCTTCAAAGCCCTCAATTGAGTGCGGCACGAGGGTAAAATAGGACAGTCTCGGAATCTAAATTTCAGATTAGTGATTTTCCAAGTGACCGCTAATGCTTCTTCACGGATATTGTGTTCACTAAATGTAAGTTCTTTACCGATACTTTCAAACATTCTTTCTTGCACTTTTCCTCGTCCACATCCGTTTATGCATTTGACGATTATGTTACGTCTACTCAGCCTTATTTATATCCTACTAACCCCTGAATGAGCATTTACCCATCTCTGGATCGCCCAATCATTTGAAACCTAAACTCAGACTCGTCCAACTGCAAAACGTTCGACAACTGCATGACTGCTTATCAACCCGCCGTTCGAACGAAGCTTGTACCGCCTTTAATTGACTTCAGAAGCTCTTTCAATGAACCCAAAGGTTCCAAATATCTTCCTTCGTCTGCGACCCTTTTGAACTACCCATCTTTCTTTCTCTCTCTCTCAACGACCCTTTGTGTGACAGACATTGATTTGGGTGCGTCCAAAAAGATTTTTCGTTTTCCGTTGAGCGCTTTTCGTTGCACTCTCAAAACATACAAACCTGCGCAACGTTTCACGTTTCAGCTCTGTGATTATATATATATATATATATATATATATATATTGGGGGGAGCAGACTTAGGCCCTTTCTAATCTCCATTGGTTTCTGTAATCGATCATCGAACATGTAGTTAGTTAATGGTTCATTGTTGGGCCGTAGTATCCGTCATTTTACCGCAGCTATTTTGGGTTTGATTAGCAGAACCTGCAGTGTATGTACACCCAATCCGCACATGTTCCCGTGTAACAGTTGCCAGCAGATGAGTCACTTACCCTTTCGCACGCTGTGTGATATTTCATTCATTTTTCCAGACAAGAATCGCTAACCTGTAAAAACACAGTAACCTTCAAAAATTTAAAAAGAAACAAACAACTCCTTGTGACATGAGTGTTTTCTTATCCTCATTTACTTCTGAACAGTAGACCCGTAAGCTATCCGATTTATTGCTCTTACAGTAAGCCTTTTAAATATGCCATAAAAAGTGTACTGTTGACGGTAGACAAAAATTGCACGGAAACTTTTTCTATCGTCAAAACGACAACCGATATAACGAATAGCAATGTCCAGCAGGTTGTTTTCGACCGATGCACTGATTTGTTTAGATAAATCTCCTCATAGGTGAATGTGTGTAGCCAATGTTTCGCACACAACGGGCTGGTCAATTGAGAGTGAAACTAGTTCGGGTCGATAACCTTCTAAACACGACGAAGAAAACAAGTAGGATCGAACGATCACATATAACCGAGTACTCACAAAGGTTTTAAAGGGTTTTCCCGGCTCTTGTTTGCTGTGCGCGCACTGTACAAGGCAAATGCTGGTCGAGAAGGAAGTAAAATTGCAAGGTATGACAAACACAGGAAGAGAAGTAAGTAAAAAATCATATCCGTGAGGAGCAACTGAGGACAGGTGAGCCGTGTGTGATGAAAATCAAATCGGCCCCAAAGCGTGAATTCAACTTCACAGTACCTCGGTAGTGGCGATTGGGTTACCTTGTCAGCGATTCAGTGTGTTCCCTAAAAACCGCTTTATTCTAGGACAACGAATCAGAACAACGATAGGCAAACTCAGGTGACTGATCAGAACCGCCAACCAATCACAGTCGCTGACAGTAATCCAATCAACCAATCATTTGTTATATGTATTCCCTTGTCCTCTCTCCTATAAATACCGATGATTTTTGCACAATAAACGAGATGGAGCGAAATAAACGAATTCACACATGCTTCCAGCTGTGATCTATTTCACAATCTGTGTAGTTTCTATTTGGATGAAAAACGTTAACTAAAACGTATGTATCAAGTGAGCAAATAGACTGGGTTACGGTTTAAAACATAGCTACAGCTATAGCTACAACATAGCTATAAGCGGAAAGTTCCAACAATCAAGTAGACTGATCCGGGTAGTTGAAGAAACCACAAAGCGAGTGAATGTAACGAGTTGGCAACAGTGAGAGAGAAGAACGAGGCACGGAAACAAAAACACAATAGCGACAGCGAACTCACGCGATTTAGTCTTCGTGTGCCCGGGAAATGCGGAGTCGACGCTGGTACTCGACTGCAAAGGTCCGCGGAAATCGATGCCTTTTGAAGACCGCTGAATTGCGACGAGCAGAAACAAAAATTAGACTCGACGGTTAGAAACAGTAACACTGAATGGAGAAAGACAGTTAATAAGTAATAAATCAATAAAACTTAAGCTGTTAACAACGTGAATGATCAAGAGTTACCTACATCAAATGATACCGAGGTCAATTTTCTCTGAGCATCGACCGTGGCGCTTGATAATGAGTCCGTTATCCCGGGATGATCTATGGTACGTTCGCCTGAGGAACTACTGGAATCCGCGTTGAATGGGGGCTCAACTAGGGGTTCCAATACCATAGTTCGTGATCCAACCGGGTTCAATATACTCAAGCTTTGTGGAATTCCACTTGTGGGCACACGTAAGTGATCTTGGTTAGAGAGCCAGTGTGATGAAGGCGGTACGGTTGTGGATGGGTGGGGACCAGTTGAGGAAGAGACAATGGACGGACCCGGATTCCAGCAATCACCAGTCGGACCAGCCGAAGACTTGGGTTCGGGAACGTCAGCATTGGTAGCTTGTGAGCAGGAAGTTTGTTGAAGCATTTGTGAGACCAAACGCAAGGACCATGGATAACTTGTCTATCGATTGGAATATGAAATAAGGTGAAACGTTCAAGGTTTAAAGTGAATAGAAAATGCGTCAAACGAGTGATGAGCAACATTGTAAATGCAAAAAACGACTGTATGAAGGTGAACGTTGTTCTACCAAATAGTCAGATCCGCGTGTTGGTGATTGAAAAGCTATTTGTGTCCATTTGTTTTGCTTTGTTTGATTTTTTCTTTAGAATTTTACACCACCACCCTCCTGTACACAAATGCAAGTGCGAAGTGCTAAAGGAAAGCAAGAAAAAAGCTAATGAGCCAAAAAAAAGCTAATAGCCAATAGATCGAAAAACAACTGCTCAACAGCTCAGCACGGTTGAGTAGCAAAGGGATTTCCCAGTTATAATACATGTGTGAAAATCAAGATGGTTCGGACCGTATGCGCATCATAAGTCCC